TTATACATTTGAGTTTGAGGTGCTTAGGGAATATCAAGAGCAAATGTTAAGTAAACTTTTGGACACAGGACCGAAGATTACAGAAGAGAGGAAAACTTAGATTTTTTATTACCATCAAAAAAAGAGCCAATTGTCAAAGTTGTGAACATGACCCCAAGAGTGTCACAGAGAAAAGTAGTTGAACTAAAATTCTGGTGAAAGTCATGTTTAGGAAGCAAGAGGAGGAAGAGAAGGACCTTGAAGGATGCTAGGATACTATAGCATCTCTGAAACCAAGAAAAAAATGGAGAAGGAATAAAACATTAATTTCTGTCCCAAAATATTGATTCCAAAGACTATTCATCTGTTCTCCATCTGATTTCATAAATGTACAGGACAGAGTTTAGCAAGTAGACCCTGTAAACGTATGCCCATCTCCTACTCTGCCTTAAGTATAAGTCATGTTTCTTGAAGACTGGTATGTTTATATACCCAAAAAAAAAAGCAATAGAAAAATTTTTTAAGAATCTAAGAACAATATAACATCATGTAAAATATCACCCTTATAGAAATACATAAATAGGAAAGCCCCCGTCCCATCCTGTTCCTCAGAGTCAGCCATATCAATAATTGTATATTCATCCAACTTTTTTTTAAACAGCACATATACTACTGCGATTTGTTTTTTTTTTTTTTACAGAAGTAGATCATATATCCACTGTTCAGCAACTTGCTGCTTCACTTAGCATATCCTGGACATCTTTCGATGCCAACACATTTCAGTTCACTTTATTCTTGTATACCACTCCTTAGTACTCCAACAGTAGCCAACAGCTAGATTACTGTAGGAGGAGGTGAGTCAGAAGAGCCAGGCTTTTTATCTCGAGAACCTAATGGTCATTTATCTTTTTGGTCATAGCTGCTTTGATCTGTCATTTTGGTCCCATTACAGGTGCTTTTTGGCTCTTCACTGTCTCAAAGTCCCTTCCAATCATTTTAATGCCTAAGGGTGGTAACTCTCTACTCCAGATTTCTAAGTGGTGGTGTTGTTATCTCAACTATTGCCATGACTCCAGAGGTCATGTCCTAGAACTTTGTGGAAATGGACAGAGATGGCAGTGGGCTGTGTTTGACGTGGAAGCCCCAACAAACAGATGGAGAGAGCCCTGACTGATGCCCCTTACCTACATTGTACAGTCTCCTAAATGCGAAAATGTTAGAATACCTTTCTTGTTAAAGAGTTATTTCTCCTATTTTAAGGTTATTCTTAGGTTTGTGTTATTAGTCCTTTTTTTTTTTTTTTAATTTTAATAGTTCATTTTTACTTCTCTCACTTTTTAAAAAAATCATTCCTGTGAATTCACTGCAAGGTGGGTTTTGTAGCAGTTTCTAAGTTAACTGTTTTTAATGTCAATATTGGAGTGTTGATTTATTCAGTAGTCATTAGGCATCTATTGTTCACTTACTATGGGGTCCCTCGGTTGTTTCACTGTGCAGAAACAGCCTGGGGTTGTGGAAAGAGAGGAGTGCGAGGAGTATGGAGACCTGGAATCTAATTTGGCTCCATTCTCCAGAGAGGCCTTGGACCAATCATGAAACTTCCATGCCCAAGTCTTTAAAACAAGTTGCTGGAGTAGGTAATTCTGAAGATTCTTTCAGACAGTCTGATTTTCATTTCTACCATTGGATTTGTGTTTGCATACTCTCAGTGTGTTGCTCAGTATAATCTAGGCTCAATTTGATCCTGAGATGAGTGAGAGAGAGATAATAAGAGGAAACTTGGGTTCTAATCTTGGCTTTGATAGTGATCGCTCTCTATCTTGAGCTGATCCTGGGGGCATCATTTTATCTGTCAAATGAGTGTATTGACCATGACCCATGGTTCTTACGTAGGAGTGTACAACAGAGCCACATGTAGAGCTTTGTACAAGTACATATGTCTAGATTCAGCCTCTGGAGATTATGATTCACTAAGGGTAAGGTGGGGACCAGTTATACATTTTCAAAAACACTCCATAGGGTTTCTGAGGTACTACTTTCCTTTTTGAGAAGCAATCTACCTCTTCAGCATTTGACAAATACTTGAGTCTTCCCCCACCCTGTCATTGCTCCATTCATCTGTAAAATCATTCCAGCTATGGACACATTGGTTACTTACCTCTGCTTTGCTCAGTGGCCTCTCTCCTCTTCCTCAGTAACAACCTACAGTGTTTCACAGTGCGGTGCAGTGCAGCGGCAGCTCGTGAGGAGGACCCGTACGTGGACTCTACCCTGAAGGTTAGAGCTGGCTCATAGTGACAGTGAAACCTTAAGATCGAAAGGGAACAAATTAGCTCTTGAGTCTAAGCATGGAAAACAGTAAAAGTGTTAAGATCTTGTTTATCGAATTAGAATTTTTGAATGTAAAATAGTAAGCATCTTGTGATTCATGGTTTAGATGACAATATTTAAGATTACTTTGAAACATTTCACTTTAAATTTAGGTATAATGCATAGTTTTAAAAGTTTGGTAAAGAGTATGTATAGTGTAACTTCAGAGAGAGTACTTTATAGGATACTACAATTTTACTGTTTTTTAATGGAAATATTGGTAGCAGTTGTATATAGCTATTAACAAAACTGTTCAGAAATCAGTATATTTAAGAGCACAAAATTGAATAAAGTGCATTAAATTATTTTTATTGTTATCAGTTATGCCTGTAATTCTCTTGTCATTTTATAAGCCTTCAACAACAATTTATATTACCCTAGTTAAGCCTAAGAGCTAATGGATATGTTAGATCAATAACCTCATTTTTAGTATGCTTAGTCTCTGAAAAGTTCTTGACCACAAAATAAACATAGGCAGTTTTATGATGAGATTTTCTATTTTCTGACCTTGAATTCCTATTCTCAAAAATATAATGATCATTTGTAACATAGTTATCATATGCTATTTCATCTCTGAAGTATAAGTTACTTGAATAGATGTTTGTTATAAAATCACAGCCTGTAGGAAACCCCCAAATTATTATGGTCTGTATTTCACAATTAGTTTAATTCTATCATAAAAAAAGGCATCTGGAATACTTTTCCTAGAGAAATAAATATTTAGTAATGATGGTTATATTAATAAGCCCGTACTTTGTATTGCCTAATGTGTCTGAGGTACTCCACCAACTGTCCCTGTTGCCCAAATTATGATATGTGGTAGTGTTTTATGTGATCTGAGTTCTCAGTAACTCTTTTTTGCTATAGCCTGCCTGTAGCTTTCTGTTACTGACCAGGCTAACTGCCTACTACTTTGGCCTCTTGGGAAACCAGAATCACAGCTTCCTGGACATGCCTTTCTGTCTGTGGTTGAGATACACACATAGCCTTTCAACAGATTATTTTTAAAATAAAGGTTATTTCCCTAGTAAAATTTCTTTGTTCCTTTCTTCTTCTCACCACACTTAGCCTCTCCTTTTTTTTAAACCTCGGAAAGACATAGGCTTACATAGATGATGATGGTGGAGTGAGGGGCATGTAATAGATTGAGGTAGGATCAATCTACATTTGAAAAGAAATCATAATTTCACTTCTCAGGATCTCATAAAACCACAGCAAAGGAACAAGGAAGAGAGGAAGGGAGAGAGGAGAGATGGGTGGGTAGCTGGTGGGGGGGTACTGCCCTTTAGACCAGTCCTTTTGAAGGTGGCATAGAGGGAAGGACACTGATGATCACACTTCATGGCTCCCCCTTTCCTGCAACTCCACCATTCTGAAATCCTGGATGCCATCTGTACAAGCGGACAGTCATTTAGCTTACTTGCTGACTCAGACTTTGGGAGCTGAGGTGTCTGAGAAAGAGTTCACAACCTCAGAGTTTGGTCCAAAGTGCACATATTTTTATCATCCTTTCCTCTGAGATTCCGGCTCCTCAGCACTAGCCAGGTCACCTTAACTATTCTTAAGAATGAAAAAGAGGTATTGCCCCAAGCACTTCGTACAAAGGGACAAGAAAGATGACCTCTGAATCAGAGCAGTGTTAATGGAGAAGAGGGCATGGGCCCGACAGCATCATTTTGTGAGCTCCCAGAAAGAATTCTTCTGTATCTTTCATATCCATTCTAGTTGAATTAACGCTCTCTTACAGGAACAGGAGCCTGGCTCCTGGACCAGGGTTTCCTTCAGTTTACCTGACACACCCTGGCCTGTCAGCCATTCCAAGCAATGTTCACACCTAAAGATCTAAGGGTGAGGGCCCTTCTAAACATACAATCTTTTCTATCCTACACACTCATCTATCTTACTAAGAAACCATTTTACATACTCTTTCTGCAATACAAAGCCCTTTTATAGTGTCTGATTTTGCCTAGAAACTCCATTTGGGCATACCCCTAAGCCAGCCCACTGTTAGTGGGGATTTCCCTAGGTGGCAGGTTACCATCCCAGGGGCTACACTCCCAGAGCTATGTAGGAGTCCCTGCAGCTGCGAGGGGCCTCAGGTACACCCATTTTCTGCATGCACTCAGTAAATACTGAGTAGCTCTTTGGTAGGCACATATGAAACATAAGTTTAGATAGGATAATCTCCTATTAATAGGAATTTGAGGTTGTTTTGGGGGCGGGGGGAGTGGAAGGGGAAGGGTGGAGCAGGAGAGCCTTTATCAAATAAACACTAATATTTTGAAGATTAAAAGTTTATGTAGCTTTTCTTGGATAAACTTGTGATTTTTCCTTTGCTAGGCTTGCCCACCTGTCAGTATGGATGTCTGTGCTTTAAGAATACAACTTTTCATAGGCTTGAAAGCCATCTGTCACTTTAAAAACCACATCATACTTTTGACCAAGGCAGACCCTGAGGCCATTCCAGAGAGAAGAGAGTCACCCAAGAAGCTTCTGTAAGCATCCTTCTTCCCCAGACATTCCTGCCAAAGTTTCTGGAATGAATTGTTACTGGTGTATTTTGTACGTGTCTTTACCTTTTTTTTAAATCAAAACTTTGAATGATCAGATGACTTTTTTATGATATTCTTTTTCCAGAGAAGAAAAGTAAGGTTTTAATGATCTCTGTATATATCACTGGATATTCTCCAATGATATCTTTTATAATAGGCCTTGAAACTTTTACAAGAAAATGAATTATAAAATAGTTTCAATAAAAATCTGGAATTTTAGATAAGAAGTTAAAGGACACGCCTTTCTGTGTAATTAATGGGAAAAATAGAGCCTCTAATGTTAGCCCAAACTAAGAGTCTCTTTACTATGTATTTTTCTTCTTTGATCTTTCAGCGGTTAATTTTTATCCAAAGATTATTTTATGATATTTCAATTCAAAAGAAATTAACAGTACATTTCTTAAAGCACGTGCATGATCTACACATAGGTACTGACCTACCTTAAAGTAAAATTCCAATTTGATAACACTAATTTCTGGTTTACTCTTCAGTTTTCTGCTTTCACATTGTTTAGAATAGAATGCTAATTCCAGACTAGTTATGCTTTTATTAGACATGTTCTATGCTGTGAACTTAGTGGTAGGGAATGAAGTCTAATTTGAACATTCCTCTATAGAAAATTTAATCAGGAAAGAAGTCTGTTTCGGGGGAAGAAACATGTAGTGTATTTCAAGTCAAACATTGGTTTTTATTTTTAACACAAGTTTTTGCTTTTCAAATTGTGCCTGTGCTTTGTTCTGCTAAGAAGAGTAAACATACTGACTTGGTTAACTGGTCACTTAGGGAGCGCACAGAGTGGTCTGACCGATGTTAAAAGCCTCTAGTGAGAAAAAAAAAACCAACTTATAATCTTGCACATTTGACATTTGTGAAGTATCATGTATTTTAAATAATTTTTTAACATTCTAATTTATTTGAAAATTTATTTGGTCAAAAGTCTGCATTTTTAAAGTTTGTATACTACAAAAAAAAAGCCTCACATAGTAAAAGCAGGAGATAGGATAGTGCTTTAGGCAGACTTGCAGGTATATGTGTCTTTTGCATTTTCCCAGCAGCCATAGATGTTTTGAGTGTTGCTCTGTTGGAGCTTCTCCTTAGATTTGTGATCTAGGGCATACTGACCTCATGAAGGCCACACACAGGAGAAATCCTGGGCACAGGGACTTTCACAACCAAGTCTCTTTTCCTTTTGAGTGCTCTAGCCTGTACTTTGAGGTTATTGCCCATTTAAAAATGCTTGTGGAATGAATTGGAAGTGATTGGTTTATCAATTCATGAAAGTTGTAGAATATTAAATGTTGTGGGCCTGTGCAGCATTGTGAAGTAATATTCTATAAAAAGTGTACAGTTCATACTAAATGAAAATGACTTAATAGTTATATAATTTTCAGTATCAAATATTTACCATTTAAAATTGCAGTTTATTAATAATATGTCTTACCTTACAGTTCTTGTCCTTTGTTTTGCTTTTAGTTCTAGAAAAGGTACCAGTGTTAAGCTCAAAACATCTCCTGTAGCTGAGGCTGGGTGGAATTTGTATATTGTGAACACGATCTCACCAGTGCAACTCTACAAAGAAATGGTACTTCTTACAGATTTCTAATTCTTATTTGTAGAAATTTAGAGTGGAATTGATGTTCAAAAACTTATTCTAATTATCATACATTCAGAATGCCACAGCTACCAGCTTACAAGCTCTGTCTGACAGTGGAGTGTGTATCTTTCTCCACCTCCTTGTTTTCCCAGCTCCTGACATTTGAGGAGCCAGTAGAAATTTCTTTCACTAAAATAAGACTCCGTTATTTCTACCCACCTTCCTGCAAGGATCAATTAACCAGTCTAAATATAAATAGCCTTTGACCTTTGCGTTGACCATTAACAAAGAGAACCATGAAATTATCTCATTTATCCCTGTCTCACTCTTCTTCAAAATATTAGCAGATAGTACCTGGCCACTGTATTACCTGTAGCATTGTCCTGTGGGTGGGGGCCCAGAGTGGGCATTCTTATTCCTTTTCTAAGTGTAACAGCTGCCAACTCATTTCCAGCAATTTTTAAAACTATTTTAAAGAAATAATTTCAAACTTACAGAAAAGTTGCAAGAATAACAATAGTACAAATAAAACCTGTATATTCCCCACATGGATTCACCCTTCATCGACAATTCACCCTCTTTGCTTTTTCTTTTTTTTGCACTCTTGCACTTTCTAAACACACACACACACACACATACATATACTGATCCTTTAGAAAGTAAATTACATAGATCATAGCTAACTACTTCAGTGTATGTTTCCTAAGAATAGGGATATTTGCTTAAATAACCACAGTGTAGCCATATACTTCAGTAAATTTAACATTGACACAATACTTTAGTTATGGGTCGTATTCTGTTTTTGTCAGTTGACCACGTAATGGTCTATAACATTTTCCCCCACTCCAGTCCAGTATCTACTGTAGCATCAGGTAGTGTATTTAATTGTCATGTCTCTTTAGTCTCCTTTTTAAAATTCTGATTATGTTCATAGCCTTTCTTTGTTTTTTTATGACATAAATATTTTTGAAAAATATATTTACCCCCTCCACCTTTTTTTTTTTTTTCATGATTAGATTCAGGTTATGTATTCTTCTAAGCCAGAATATTGGTGATATAGTATATTCAGAGTAGCACATTGGGAGGTACATGATACCCCATTGGTGGTATTAATTTTGATCATCAGGTCAAGATTTTATCTTCTTTGTTCCTGTCATTTTAATGCTAGGTATTATATCAGCTTTGACCTGCCTTTTTCATTTTGCTTAATTGAAAGTCTTAGACTTCATCTAAATGATTTACCTACTGGAGTCTGAAAACATGGATTGACTCAGGTAGCTGGTAATTTTGTAAGCCCACTGCGAGTTACAGAAATAGATGTAGTAGAACCTAAATTCACCAATTAAAACGAAGGGATACTCAGTCTGAATTTGAGAAGGATTTAAATCTTAGAACTTAAAAAAAAGTTAACTATTTCAGCTATTTTTATTAACTTTATCAAATTGTGACCCAATTATTGCTAAGTCAACAATATTATTATTATAGTCTTACTTGTACCTTCTCTAATGATTAACGCTGTTTTCCAAGAGAGTGTTTGCAATCATTAATGTATTAAACTGGCTCAGATTGGGAGTGGGGTACACTTTAACCAGGCCCTATCAAAATTATTGGTGCTTCTTATATTTTAGGATTTAATGTGTCTGCATATTAACTTTTATTACTTTTATTAACTACATATTACTAACAAAATATATGGATATTATTTAGAACTGGGAAACTTCTGAGAGTCTTTGTGTTGCAACATTAGCTGTTTGCCTTTTTTGTTTTAGGTAGACTACAGTAATACCTACAAGACTGCAAAAACCCAGAGCTGCATCCACCTTCTTAGTGAGGCTCATCTGTTAGTGAGAGCTGCCCTGATGGATGGCAGTCAGCTGGAACCTGGAGAAAAAGCAGAGCTTTTAGATGCATTTAAAGAAAGCTGTGGGCACCTTGGAGACTGCTATAGCAGGTTGGTGATGCTTCTTGGAAACTTGTTAGAGAAGCCATCTTGAACTTTGGGTGTATTTACTAGCCTTTCCATCTCCGGTAGCTACGTGATAAATGGGGGTACACACAAGGGGAGATGCTTCATTTATTCATTTATTCCACAAGTATTTGTTGAGCACATACTGTATGCCAGTTATTATGCTAAGCTTAGAGATACAAAAATGAATGTGATCTATTCCCTGTCTTTAAGTAGTTACAGTTTATTAGATGAGCAGTGAGTCTTAAGTTCATGAGTCTCTCACCACTTTATTGAGGAATTTGAAGTTTCTTTTCAGGCCTTGGGGGATGGTGGAGGGGCATGACCAGTAAAAATCCCTGAAACAGCCATATTACTAGTTTATTACCTGTTGGCTTTAATTTTAGTAGTCAATGCTTTTATGATTATTACCTGTTGATTTTAATTTTAGTAGTCAATGCTTTTATGATGTCATAAAAGGACACTAGTATGAATAGTAACTTTTATTTCTGAGAATGATGTTTATAAATTTTTTGTGTGTATGATTGTTTCAAAGGCTTACTTGACCCACAGGAATGATTATAGATTAATAAAATAGACTTTTCCTACCTATAAACGCCATTATTTTAGAGCCATGTTATGAAAATAAAATTCGTTGAATACATTTTTCCTATTTTTAGTATTAGTAAACAAAAAGAACTATATTAAGTAGAATGACTGCAGAATAAAACTGAGGAGCTTGTTCCAACTACTAACGACAGTGGAAAAGTATTTTGAGATTTATGAAATCTGGAAATTATGATCTGTTTTATTATCAGACGTGTTCGATATCTAGGCTTAAAACTGACAAATTTGAGGGTGTTTTGCTTCCTTTTCTTCAGGCTCGACACCCAGTATTCCCACCTTGCCTTGCCGTACTATAAGATGTCTGGTTTGTCTATGGCTGAAGTTTTGGCCCGAGTGGACTGGGCAGTAGAGGATGGATCACAGAAATACGAGAGGGGGTTAATCTTTTACATTAATCATTCACTTTATGAAAACCCGGATGAAGAATTAAGTGAAGTGAATATAGTTTTCTATTTAGTTATATGTAATATTTTTAACCTTTCACTTTATCAATTTATTTTATGTAATATTTAGAAGTCAAATTGCAAATATTTTTCTTGGGTAATATTTTCTTTTCCTAAAATGGTAACTTATGTGACCCTTTCTTCATTAATAATTATAGAATTGTAGCTTAGAAAAGAACTTATAATCATCTTCTCATACTTTCTCATTATATAGACAGGGAAATGTGGTTCATCATAGTTGAGTGACATGCCCAACATGACAGTGGCGTGTCTTTAGGAGAATGACACAGAACATGGGCCTTGCCTTTCTTCTCATCTGAAAGCCTTTCCACAGCCCTAGACACCCCACTCTCTAGGTGGCCAAAGCTTCACTTATGAAATCCTGGCCCAGTGAGCTTAATACATTATTAAGGATTATTTTTCACCCCTTGTATATTTCTTAACACATTATTAAGGATTATTTTTCACCCCTTGTATATTTTTAAAAAGAGTTGAATACAAATATGAAAATTTAGATATTGTGATACCAAATGTTTTAAGGTTAGGAGATAAATGAAATTTTCTCATATAAATTACCTCATTAAGTATATTTTGTACTAAGCTGTAATTTTTTATAATGGACTTTTGAGTGTAATTTAATATTTTCTTCTGAACTTTTGTTAAAATTAGAAATGTTGGCCATAATTTGGTACATATTTTCACTGATTTTTCTTCGTTTTAACTCAGCAAAGAGGTCACGTCAGGTCATCACAGGTCTCCCACATTAATACCATCAACTCTTTTCAAATCAGAACTTAATACAGTAATTTTATTTTAATTGGAATGTTGTATCTTGGTTTTGTATCTTTTTTATTCTTTTTTTCCTAATTTTGTTGCTTTTTATTGGCTGACCCTTTATTTCTTGTCATGCTCACCAAAGGAATTAGCAGCAAAAGTGGTTCAGATGTTTCATGTGGCCGAGCCAAAGCAACTGCCTCATATTCTCTGTAGTCCTACTATGAAGAATATTAATCCTGTAACTGCCATGAGCTATCTAAGGAAGCTGGATACTTCTGGGTTTTCATCAGTCTTAGTGACATTGACCAAAGCAGCAGTGGCTCTGAAAATGGGAGATCTTGACATGCACAGAAATGAAATGAAAAGCCACTCAGAGGTATGGTGCCCTCCCTGGTATCAACAGTAGGCCAGAATGTGACCTATTAGTCCTGAGGTTTTAGGCTTCTTCTAGCTCATTTTTTCTTAGTTGTGAAGGAAAATAGACTGATATTAGGAAGGAAGTGACCCAAAGTGGAAGGGCTTGGGCTTCAGATCTGGCAAATGAAAAAGAAATAAGAATGATAAATAGGTATCCAAAGACCTTTCAACGTAGTGTCAGGTACGTTCAGAGCATGGAGAATATATAGGCTCTGCCCTGAGCTGCCAGTCTGATCTGACATGAGGGAATGCTGTATCCACTGAAGACAGAACAGAGTGATGTGTATTCAGGTACAATAAGTGAGGTATTAACTGTGAGCCATAGGAGACTAGTAGTTGCAGAAATAGCCTGCATTTGGGAAAACCACAAATGACTTTATTAAGGATTAGGCATTTGAATGGTATATCAAAGCAAAGATTGCTTTCCCTCCATTTATGGGCATGAGCCAAAGATGTTAATTATCAGTGGAAGAAATTAAGAAGTAACATTAATCAAGCACTTATTATGTTCCAGGCCTGTCCTGAGCCCCTTGCGTATATTCTCTTATTTAATTCTTACAACAATGCTATAAAATAGACGCTATTATTATACCTATTCTACAGATGACAGAACTAAGACAAAGAAAGGTTAAATAATTTGTCCAATATCACACTACCGGTGAGTGGGAGAACCAGGATTTGAAGCAGGCAGTCTGGCTTCAGATCCTGTGTTCCTCCACTGTCGTTTTATTACCTGTGGTCAAATATCCACATTATGACTTTGATTTCTAAAATAAGAGCATGAGTGCTTTATTGTCGTTCAGATGACACATTTTGTTATGATGAGAAGAGCAATTCACCATTGAGGTATTCTTTGCTTAAGAGTAGAATTCTAGAAAGATGCATTTTCTGTCTATAATTTTGAAAAAACTTAAGATATATTATTGTTAAATCAAGCATACCTAAACAAAATGCTCTCTGCAAAAATAGGATATCTTGATGTTTAATTAAATATCAGTAACTTCTATAAAGACAGTTAACAATGATGTTCTTAGAGTGAGAACTAGTCTTTGTAGTTAGAGAAAAAATTGAGATTAAATCATTAATAGTTTAATTATGAACCTTGAATGCTAAATAGGTATCTAGTATGTATTTTCAAGATGAATGCAGTGTACATTTTGTTCCTAAATTTCTTTTTTGTCTTAAGATGAAGTTGGTATGTGGCTTTATTCTGGAACCTCGTCTGTTGATTCAACAGAAGAAGGGACAGATTGTTCCAACTGAACTTGCAGTTCACTTGAAGGAGACTCAGCCTGGATTACTTGTGGCTTCAGTCCTAGGCTTACAGAAGAACAACAAAATTGGAATTGAAGAAGCAGATTCCTTCTTTAAGGTTTGTCTCTTTGAAGATGTTCTTTGAAATATTCTGGATAGCTTGATAAAAGTGGTGGGGAGGGGGTGGCAATGAGCAGAATAAGAAAAGTGAGGTTTTGTTTGTTTATTGAAAAAACAGATTTAGACATAACCAATCTATATTAAAAGAATACAGAAAAATTTCATTCATGCAAGCTAGAATCTGTTTTCTATTAAAATGTCTAAATTTGCTTTGCCATAGCACTAATGCTAATGATAAATTATTAAATGATGGAGGGCTATTCAGACCAGCTGTAAATGATCAATATTGTGTTTATCTGGAGTGTGGGGGCTTGTTTCACTGTTTTCAAGGTGCTTTGTGGTAAGGATGAAGATACAATTCCTCAGCTCTTGGTGGACTTTTGGGAAGCTCAGCTAGTAGCATGTCTCCCAGATGTGTTACTGCAGGAACTCCTTTTCAAGCTCACATCACAGTACATCTGGAGGTTATCTAAGAGGCAGTGCCCTGACACCACACCGTTGCGAACATCAGAGGATCTGGTAAGATAGTGGAATAATACATTAAGTTAAGCCTGTGCATTACATATTACAATAATATACCTTCTTAATGGTTTTGAATCAAACTGAATTTATATTACCAGATATCTTTTTTAAGCAGGAGTTAAAAATACACTTAAAACTTGTCCATGAATGAAGTTGCCCACATTTTAAATAATTTTATATTTTAAAGAACACCCGTACTGCTCCTATATTGCTTACTTGCAGTGGTACCTCAGTAGCCAAAGAATGGTTGAAGGGGCTTTCCCCAGAACAGATCTGTGCTCCCTCAGGACATGGCCATGAAGTAGACTGCAAGAAAGACATCTGCGGATCTCCTGATGGGCAAGGACTTGCAGAAGGCTTGTGGGAGACAGACTTCCTTACTGGACCCTCATTTCCTGTCAGCTGCACACGCAAGAGCTGTTCCGTAGCCCACGAGGCAACCCTCACAACTGCTTTTACCCTTCTTGCTCCCTTCCCCATCCCCGCTCATTTTTTTCTCATGGATGCCACAGCTAGTGTGGGTTCACTGGAAAAGTCACCAGCTTCTTGAATAAGTGGGGCTTAATTAGAATTATCTTGAGAACTTACAGAAGAGATTTTGCCTCTCAAGGAAAGTAGTAGAAATAAAAATTAATAGTGTTACTATTAATTTTTAGCGTTACTATTAATTTTTAGTGTTACTAAAAATTAATAGTGTTACTATTAATTTTTTTGAGTATAATTAGATTAAAAGCACTATTGCTCTTTTTACTAGAAAGTGCCTTTTTTGGATAGTTTAAAATTTAAAATATTAGGAAATACTTAGTGTGGATTTCTTTAGTGAGAAGCAGCAAGCCTGAAACTTTTTCTAGGGTAATAAATTCTTAAAGACTTTTCTTACCATTCCCAGGAAAGTGTATACTTAATTCTGCGACATGGCAGAAGATTATCTATTGCTTGCAAGCTCTTTTGGGAATGGATAAAGAACTAGTTGTTTTGTTGTATTTTATTTATGAAATATTTCTTTTACATTTTAGATAAACGCCTGTAGTCATTATGGCTTAATCTATCCCTGGGTTAATGTCTTAATATCATCTGATTCTTTAGCTGACAAAAATTATACAGAAGATCTCTTCAAATTACAGGTAAATAAAAATGCTTCTTATTCTTCTGACTGTGCACGTTACAATTTAATGTAGGATATAAATTTGGTAAGACCTCAGGTGTCCTGTTAATCTGGAGTATATAATTTGGGGAGACAAAATCCATAGTTAGGCATACCAACAAGCTCTGGAGAGAATTTCTGCTTCTGCCTGAAACTGCTTATAGGAAGCCTGGGTTCTTTACCAGTAAATGAATGAGCATCACCAAGTCACGTGACTGTCTTGCCTAGTTTTCAGGATGTGCTTAAAAATGCTGTGAAATGCAAGTATGGAAAATGTTCAGTGTTGTTTTTATTGACATGATTCTTGTTTTTTTAGTGTTCACTCATAGATTTTAGCCCTTTAGTCTAACCCAACTACTACTGTCTATTTTATAGGAAATAGGTCAAAGTAGCCAGTTTATCTGGCTCCTGAAAAGGATTTTTTTAAAAATAAGTAGGTCGATTGGAGAATATAGGTCATCCTGTAGGAATTCTGACCATGACAGTGTTTTGACTGGAAATGAGAAATAAAGTCCACATTTGATTTGGTGGATCAGGCTGCACTGGATGTGGATGTGATTTTTCTTAATGTAGTTTAGTGGCCCAAGGACCAAATAGAACCCCCGGTCTGTTTTGTGTGTTCTGCCTAGTGTAGCTGCCAACATATAAAAATTTGAGATTTCAAATTAAAAATTCCGAGTTTTAAATTTCTCTTGAAAATTTCAGCAGCACTGGTAACCCTGGGCCCTCATTGCCAGAGACCTGTGGGTTGGAGGCAATGAGTGGCTCCCCTTCTTGAGCAGTGCTCATGCTGTCCTGCTGGCAGCAGTTCTCATAGCGATGTCTTCCTGGTTCAGATACAGAATGTCTGGTGTCCATTTCCTGTACTCAGCTGCCTTCATGCATTTTCACCATCTGTTTGGCCTCGTTAGGTTTTTGAATTTGTACCTCTCGATTTACCCTAAGAACAGGTGTAAGTGTGGTTATTGCTTATAGAAACCAAAATGTCAGATTGGGGATGGGGGTCAGGGCGGGAAGCTCAACAGATCATACTGCTTAGACAGCCCCTAGAAAGCCTGAGAAGATTCTTGTTGGTTCTTATCACTAGTGCCCTTAAGGTACAGAAGCTGCTGAGCCTGAGATTTGTTCATTCCACAAATATTCCTTGAGCATGTGCTGTAAATATGTTGTGCAGCCTTGGACAGTGCAGGCAGAGCCTTGCTCTCCCAAAACATATGTACTCGGCACATATTAAAATCATAATTGTAATAAGTGCTATTAAATCTTACCTGATAAAGCTTCAAAGCAAATTTGAAATCACCGCTTTAAAAAGTATTATTTAAGTGATCTTTTAAAATCCATTTTTAAATATTTTAAAAGAGTAGGTTTTTTCCTGAAATCTTTGCTGTCAAAAGATAGAAATGTGGTCTGCCTAAACTTTTCTATCATTTTCCTAATTACATTTTTTCTAGATTAGTCTTAATCATTAAGAAAAAAATAACCCTCAAGAAACAACAAGATCTCATTTGATTCTCACCTAGAGTAATAGGTTCAGAATCACCTGGAGAGTTTTTTCAAAATCGCATGCCTCCCCTTTACCCCCACCCTACCACCACCACATACATTTGATATGAGTCTGTATCACTTGTCTTCCGTCACTTTAATAATGTATTTGTGAAAGAATTAAAAACAATCTATAAATTATTTACATGTCAAAAACCTGTTATTTGAAGTGATACAGTAACTAGTAAATGCCCTACCCTTTGCCAAAATTGTCATGGTCCCCTCCACCCACCTCCTTGCCAACCACCTTGCCTGAGAGCCGCACTTGTGATTGTATAGGTAGAGAAGAAAGAGAAGTCTGGATTCTAGCCCTGCAAAGTCAGCCAGGGGTTGGAGATCTAGATCAGAGAGGGAATAAATAGTGCACGTGCTGCGGGGTAGAGATGAGTCCATTTCCAATATAGAAAAGAAAAAGTGGAACACTCTGCAAAGAAATAGACAGCATTGAGTGTTTTAAAGACCTGCAGTAACCTTCGGACCATTTTTTTATTCAGTAATATATGTGTGTGTCATTTCTTATTTTTAAACTTATTGATGATATGGATAAAACTAAAAAGGTTTATGAGTAATCCATATTGTGCCTAGTTTTGACTAGTTTCATTTTAATCGTGGTTTGGGTTCCCTGTGCCTTGCTCCTTCCTACTTAGACCATTGTCCTGATTAATCAAGGGTTGACTATAGAAATAATCTGTGTTTTCTTTCATGTCGGGAGACCCTATGAGTGGCAGATTATCACTTTATTTCATATTTGCTATCTTATTGTCAGGAAATTATTCAGATGAAGATGATTATTAAACTTGCAGGAAGGAAAGGGACCAACCTTATTCTCCTAGCCGTTCTTTGGTAGATATTTGGAATAAAATAATCAGGCCGACTGTAAATGGATAGTTCACATTCCATATCCTCCTGTGAGCCTGCGAAGCTGTAGCAAAAAGGATACAGGCAGAAGAAAAATCAGTATGTCATCATTCTATCCAAAAGAAAGAGAAAGCAGAGATGATTTTGGTGGTAGAATCAAAAGTAGTACAGTTGACCCTTGAACAACGTGGGCGTCAGAGGCACCAACTGCCTGCGGAATCAGAAATCCGCATGCAAATTAAGTCGGCTCTCAGCACACCTGGGTTCTCAGCCGCCAGCTGACCCTTGCACAATTCGGGTTTGAACTGCATGGATCAAATGAAAAAAATCCACGTTAAGTGGACATGTGCAGTTTAAATCTTACTTGCTGAAAGTCAACTGTGTTTATAGTTTAAATGCTTAAAAGTAAAATATTGGTTACAATTCTGAATACTGAAATGTGCCTGCTCTGTTATTCAGAGTGTGGCAAATGTATTAATACAAATTATTAGGATATTAACAATTGTTTTAATTTCCTTAAACATAGAATTTTTATTTTTGGCTACATACATGGTACATGCTTATTATAGAAACTTTGGAAAATACAGGCAAATATGAAAAACACAAAAAGTATGTTTCGTCCTCCCATTTATTGAGCTAATCTCTATTTCAAATTCTTTGCTCTTCCAAAGGCATTTCTATGTATGTATGTACCTATGTGGATTTTACAAAACTGATCATGATTTTCCACTCATTTCATCATAAGTATTTTGTCAGTAAGTAGCCTTTGAAAACAATTTTGATGGCTGTATAGTATTCCATCACATGAATGTACCATAATTTGTTTACTCATCCTTTTTGTTTAACATTTAGATCGTTTCTGGTTTTTCAATATTATAAATACTCTTGTGGTGAACATCATTGGGCAAATCTTTGATTACAATGTTGATTATTTCCTTAGGATAGAGTCCTAAAGCATTTCCATCAATTTCAATTTGCAGTCTATCCAAAGCAAATAAAATCATGTTATTTTAAAAATGATTACTTTCTATCAAACTGTTATTATTTAAACTAAATTTGGTTTAAATATTATTTAATATTTCAGTCCACTTAGACTTACTAAATAAATGTCATATGCATGTGCTCTAAAATTGCATTCTTCTTTTTCTGTTTTTTTCTTTTTGCACGTGAGGTTTAGTCTTTTGAAAAAATTGTATTCTATATGTTGTACTTTAGTTTTTTGGGATACCTCATTCCATAATATTTCACTTTTCTGTTCATAGTCGCTTATATGTGGTCCTTCATTTGACATAGCTTCCATTGTTCCATTCTTGGAACCACTCTCAGAAGACACTGTTGCTGGCCTCAGTGTTCAGGTTCTGTGTCGGACACGTTTGAAAGAGTATGAACAGTGCATAGACACACTGTTAGAGAGGTGCCCGGAGGCGATCATTCCATATGCCAATCACGAACTGAAAGAAGAGAATCGGGTACGCTTTTCAGATTATGTTTTTTTAGGCTTGATCAGTGCTAATCAAAATTGATAGTCTTCTTGCCTTATCCGCAAAATGGGGACAAATTATGCCAGTCCAACCTCACAGGGCTGTGCAGGTTAAGTGAGCATGTTTGTTTAATTTATTATGTGGTTTTAGTACAGTTAGAAGCTATTAAAATGTATGGTGATGGCATGTCATCTTCAGTAAAAGTCTCTTGAAGATGAAGTAGGCTATCACCTGAAGATTTGGGAATTATAATGTATGATGGAAAAATATTTTCTGGGCTATATGGTCTTTACTTTAGAAATTAGAATTTTAGACTTTAGTACTTTTCTTTCCTTCTTGCCACCTAAGAGATGGTACAGGACATGTCTATGTGTCTTCTTGAAAATAGCTATGTACATATGTACATAGATTTTCAAGTTGCAAGTCCAACTTATATGTTATAATTTAAGCAGAAGACTAGCTACTGATATAACTTCTGTTATAACAAAGTTTGATGCCTTGACCAAAATGATGTATTTTTGACCTGCACTTTCCTGCACAATCGTATTCTTGTTGGAAATCTGAATGTAAAATGCATCAAACTTAACATTTCTTCATTTTTTCCTAAGATAGATTTTGTGGTGGAAAAAACTGCTCCCTGAACTTTGTCAGAGAGTAAAATGTGGTGGAGAGAAATATCAACTTTACCTGTCATCATTAAAAGGTAAGTGATTCTTTTGCTTCATTATAAATTTGTATCTTAGTTTCAGTTTCCGTAATTGCTGAAGCCTTGCTTTTTCTAGTTTTTTCATGTGATTCTTAAGTGAGGTGAAGAAGATCTTAGCAGAATTGTCTGAAGAGCTTATTTTCAGCATTCATATGCTTCCCCCACCATTACATTTGATATTCATTTATCTCTTCTAGCTACACAGTTGATGCTTTTAAATTAATCTTTTCAAACACTTAACAAGTTATCACAGTCTTAGAAATTCATAATCTCAGTATTTAAAATTTTTGAATAGCCATTAAGACAGTTACATTTGTATTAGTGATCTCAAGTGCTTAATTCACTTTATATGAAAAATTAAGATTGTCATTACTAATCTTAATTGTAAGCAAGTATTGAGGAGTGACAAGGTTCACAAGGATTTAAGTTGTGTCTCTAAATCATGTAGTATTTTATGGCCTAGGTAGTGATTTGAATTTTTATAATTCATAATCATTAGTAAATCTTCATAGATATATAGTTATCAAGTTCTCTACTCTTGTGTGTTAATATCACTAATTGTTGGCCTGATGTGACAAAGGGTGTGGTTATATTGATTTCAGCATGCATAAAATATTAGAAATTGATAGTGTTGGAATTGTATTTTCCAGCAGAGATAATTGATTTTTAAACTGTTAGGCAGCGCCAGTGACCATTGGAGGGTGTTTTTTAGAAAATCCTTGTTTAAGTAAAGTTGTACATTTATTATTGAGAAGAGGTAACATATGCTAACTTTTTATCCTACCCATATCCCTTAGTGATTTTTTGGTTTTCAGAAGATAGAAGTGTCAGGTATTTCATTGTCCTGCCCCACTTGCATCACATTTGTCACATAATTTTGAAATGATCGTTTGTGTTGGTGTATCACTTTCCAGTGCCAGATATCCCACATCTTCACACCTCAGCAACATCATCATCTTACTCAAGAGACTCTTTCTTCATCCTCTTCTGATTTATATCCACAAACTCTCTACCCCTGACTCACCCATAATCATTCCTCCAAATATTCCATTTTCCATTATCTTCAGAATATGTTTATGTGTGTGCACACACGTGTGTATGGCTCATGGGACTAACTGCTGTGTGTAATTTACCTTTATTAGAGCTGATGTTTTAGTCATTTTTCATGTCGTATCCTCCTTACCAGCAATACACCTCTCCATAGAAAGCATTCTGTAACTATTTATTGATTTGAAGGGAAAATCCGAATAAGTTCAGGTCCATTTTCAAGGGAGGTCTTTCAGTAGACAACTGTAGTACACCAGGAAGAGACCAGCATTGGAGTCTGGAGAATTGGGGCTGAGTTCCAGGTCTGATATTTAACTGAGTGACCTGAAGCAAGCCAATTTTTTAATCTCCTGGGACTAATGAGAATTCAGGGTTGACTCTTAAGTAAAATGTTAGGCAAAATTGCAAGATGGTAGGGTTGGAGATGGAGGTCAGGGACTTAAATAATATGCTCGGGAGCTTGGATTTCTTATCTCTAATGCAGTGTTTTTCAACCTTGGCAATATTGATATTTTAGACCAAATAATTCATGTGTGTGTGTGTGTGTGTGTATGTCCTGTAAATTTTAGGATGTTGAGCAGCATCCCTGGCCTCTACTCACTAAATAGTACTGTCTCAGGTATGACAAACAGAAATATCTCCAGACATTACCAGATGTTCCCTGGGGGGCAAAATCATCCTGGCTGAGAACCACTGCGCTAATTCAGAGCCATTGAAACTGGGATTAGTGATTGGCTTGTTTGTTTCGAGGAAATATTTGTTACTGTTTTTGTGATAATGCACTGTGCTTATTATTTAAAATTCTCATATGTGTAGTAAATTACAAAAATAAAGTTTAAAAAGTCATTTACAATCCCACCAGCCAGAAACAACTATTTTTAGTATTTGATTATTTTCTAGGCATGCTAGAGGATTTAAAGTACTCTAAGGTTTAAGAAATTGATCTCATTCTTGGAATTATTAACCTGTATTAGCCCCTCACTAGTTGGCGGAAGAGGAGAACTGGACAGTGGCAAGATTTTTGTTGGCTCTGTAGCTACTCTGCACTGGCCCTTCAACTCAGTTTTTTGGATCTAGGATACTAATTATAGGCTCCATATTTAGGCTAAATAAACTAGTTTGATAGGAAACCATTGATAATTTGTTTTTCACATGAGTTTTGCAAACTAGTTAGTAGTTATTATTAAGGTTCTATTATATGTCAGATGTGCATCATTGTATTTTAATTCTCAAAGGACTCTGAAAGCTAGCAGATGGTACCACTACATAGATGGAGAAACTAGGACTCAGGAGGCTAAATGACTTTCTTAAAGTCACCAGAGAGTAGGTAGAAAAGTCTGACTACAGAGCTGGGGATCTTAATACATTGCTCCATTCATTAAGTTTTTAGCAAAAGGACATGTTATTCCTTTGTGTAAAGAGTGATTTAAGTTGCTGAATATTGGACAGATGACTTATCAGTCACTCGGCAAATAGAGTAAGTGGTAGGTATGCAAGGATCACACAGAAAGTGTCATTGAAATATATTTGTTGGGAACATCGTTCTTAAAAGAGCAGCGTATCTGTATCAAGAAGCAATAGAACCATAAAATTGCATAGTTATCTTTACAAATATGTTTACTAAATTCCTTAATATTTAAAATGTTCACCAGAGCACATTATTTTGCACTTTGAGGGAAAAAAAAGATAAGTGGTCATGAAAACAGATTTGTGCTTATTAATAACATGAAAATGTTATAATAGAGAAGAACTGATTTAGGAAAATTTCATCCAACAATTAATAGTATTTCCTGTTTTAGCAAACAGTCTTTATAATTAGCTGCAGGAGAGTTGTAACATTAAAAACAGTATTTAAATGATTGTATTTTTTTAGAGGATAACAGAAATTTATTAAAAAATAATGAGATAATCCAACAATAAAATAGTAATTCCTGGCACTAATTTAATTGCCTGGCACTAATATAAAGGAAACTTCAAAGAATTCTAGAAAGAATAAATAAGAAGTAAAACCATGAAGTATTCTATGGATTTAAGAGATTGTTTTCTTTTTCTTTTATAGTTTTTTTTACCTGAACTAGCTTCTAATTGGTTGAGTGATAAGAGAATTGGATGAAAGAGAGATTGTCACTTCTAACTCAGATGTTCTTTTCTACAAACAGAAACATTGTCAATTGTTGCTGTGGAACTAGAACTAAGGGATTTCTTGAATGTCCTTCCAGAAGATGGCACTGCAGCATTTTTCTTGCCCTATCTTCTTTACTGCAGTCGAAAGAAATCATTAACTTGAAGGTATCATTTGAAAAACACCACAATGGCATATGAATTTTAAAAAACCGAATGCCAGGGAAAATGTAAATAAAAAACTTTCATATTGAATGTGTATTAGAAATGCTTTAAGGCTGCTTGCCTTATCATGTAGTGGTATTTCATAATTTATGATCTGAATCCATTTAATTGTCCAGAATGTAAAACTATAAGGCATAAGAATTTCCTCAAAGAAGGCATATATTTTTTAAAAGTAGAGATTGACTTTTATTCCATGGAACATCAATTTACTGTTGTTGCAAACATGAAAATCTTTTTCATCCCAAGAACACAAACATTTCACAAGTATGCTTGAAAGAATGTCACTCCAAGTGATCCAGGATTTAATTTTATTGATTTTTCCAGATTTTCCTATTGGGTCACTTTTTAAAACAGTTTTCTTTGAGAAAGATGTTAATGTTTTGCCATAGTAAGATTTCAGACTTTTATTTTCTTGTTCCTTTTAAAACTCATGCTCTTTCTTTCTGAATCAAATGAAGTAGAAGTTTACAAAGTTAACTTTCTTCTTGTCTTGGCTGTTAAAATGATTTGTTGAATGCATGTTTTTCAGCCAAAGCCTTTTTTCCATTTTTTTGTTGATGTATACTCGTGCTCTTTTAGCTAGAGTATATTTGAAAATAAAGGAATATATTATTGTATTCACAGCTGTGTGTACTTTCTTAACCTCTTATTAAACAACTTTGTTTTCAGCATATTAATCCTGCACTTTTGATGCAGGATGGGGTGCATCAAGTGAGGGCTCAAGTCCTGCACCAAGAGAGAGGTTCTTGACTGAGCACAGGAAAAGATTCAAGTGCACGCCAGAATTAGAGACAAATGGAAAGTTTATTAGAGAAGAAGTAATGCTCCAAAGACAGAGTGTGATCTCCTCTCAGAGGCAAAGAGTTAGAGAGACTGAGAGGGATGGACAGAAGCAATGCGGGTTGGGTGAGACCAGAAAGACAAAGAAAGACCCAGACCAAGACCTTGAGTGTTTGGGGAATTCAAAGTATATATCATTCTTGGTTTCTGTGAATTTTAGTTTAAAGACTTGTTTATCTAATTTTCCTACAGTGTGAAAGACAAGGATATGTAGTGTGAAAGGCATGGGTATATAGCATTAAAAGCATGCTAGCAATTCCTAGCCTTTGTTTCATAGGTTCCCCATGAGTATAGCCATAGGAAATGAATGATTGGGTTTATTTTGTGTAGAGTATGACTTAATGACTTATTTTCCCTTAGGTGTGAGTAAATGGTTTGTTAGTAATCCCAACAGCAATTTTCCTCTGTTTTGTAGGTTCCCATGGTCTGGCAGCAGCACATTGAGCTCTGAGTATAGCTTGATTTAACATTTACTTCTCACGCCTCCTCCCTACATTACTTTGATTTCAGTTAAGGCTGAGTAAAAATGCCACAAGTGTGTTTGGAAACTTTTCTCCTGATGGCATTGTTTCTCAACTCTGCCTTTCTCCAGTTCCAGATTCACGTCCTTTCGACCATTCTTTCAAGGAGTCACAAAACTCAGATTAGAATCTTTTTATTTTATTTTTAGTATTTATTTTATTTTTAGTATTTATTTTATTTTTAATATTTATTTTATTTTTAATTTTAATTTTCATTTATTTATTTATTACTTTATTTTATTATATTTT